AATGTTAGTTGCCTAATTGTATGCAAGTAGACAACATCAACGTCGCTAGAGGAGGTGATCAAGTCGTATAAGTCCGGGCCAACGAACCGGGCCTTTCTGTGGAGCTAAAACCTCCTCGGTACTTTTGACCGACTTTTTCATGGGCGATTTCGGCCTTGGATGGGGTTCACCTTTGCGTTGGTTTTTGCCCGGCCCAAACCCGTGCCGGTACGAATTGGCACGCGATGCGCGACGTCACTTTAGGGTAATGTCGATTGGGTCAATTTTATTCTTAAATGCGGAGCGAGGAAATTATATGAAAAACACCCTGGTTGATGTAAAAAAAATTTCATAAGTCATTTGGATTCGAAAAGATAAAAGGATATCTCCTTAGTCCCCGGCATAAGTGTTCGTAAAATAGAATGGACGATCCTTCACCAGATTGAGGCGCGATATGTTTGTAAAATGCATCCTCGAAAACAGAAATTTTCAATAAGTGTTTCGGCGACTCTGGTATGAGTATGTTTCCTATTTGAGTGATTCTCACTGATTCTCACTGCGCGGCAACGATACCCTAAGTGCAGCTAAGAGCACGTAGCTCAAATCTTCGGCCAGGTCATGCCACCCTAACCCAACAAGGTCGTCATCGCCAGAGGCCACCTTTTGAGTAGCGTTGTAGGGTGGTTTGCTCGGGTGATTTAGTGGCTTTTTTTCTTTATGCGACTCCGGATCTTTGACATAAGGATGAGTTTATCAATACGCTTTGTAGCACCGTAATGTCTTATTGTGGCGTACTTACTGTCGATCAAACGACGTCTGGTGCTATTACTGCAACATAACGTGCAAGTTTCTCTCTCTCGGTTTTGTATTTTTCTTTTTATGCATTTAACGAACGTAATTTAGTTGCCTCCGGTTAATTCTTCGGTGGGACGTTTGATAATAGTTACTCATATACAGAGGTCCGTCGAATTTGGTCGAAAGTTATTCGTCCGAGTATGGCCGGACAAGTTGCCAGGGATAGGTAGCTACTTACGTTTGTGAGACGCACACTACCTTACATTGAAAGAAAGATAACTTCTTGTGCAGGGAGTAGAAAAACTACCGCGTTAATAGAAAATACAGTTATCCGTGGGCTGGCGTGGCCCGTATGGACGTTACGGTATCTCAACCGACAAACTAGGACGCATCACAACTAACAGGTTTCCTTTGGCATTTGACAACCTACCTATACACCAGATCCTCGCGGCACTAGGCCAGACCAAGAAATGACCGTGTCCGACTGACTACCAACGCTATAGGATTAATAGCATGCCGTAACGATTTGCAACGTTAAAAGGGACAACGATTTATAGCATCACAACCGGTTTGTAAAATAAAGGGCCTGATTAGCCCAATTAAGGACAATCGCCCTAGCAAGGTAATCACGTAGGGGCCGGTTTAAGGTGTTGTTCAAACTTGGGGGAGTGCTAAATCGGGATCATAGCAGACTAGTTCCGAAGTCGCTCAGAAGCGTGTAACAGAGCGGTTTTGTAAACGCAGACGAGTCCGGTAAGCGAGGCTCTAAGAAACACTGGCGAGATTGACTTCAAGAATCCTCGAGGAGAGCTTCGGGCGGCCCTCGAGAAATTCGAGACGGGTCTGAATCCACGATGAAAATCCGGATTTTATGAAACACTTAACAGAATCACTTATTTTAATCCTCAGATTTAAATCTGAGCTGTGCGGCGTATTACGGATCTCAAAGAGGATTTAAGCGCGTCAATCCTCGATAAAAATCGGGGATTTGTTGGAAACACTTATGCCGCCGGGGTCTAGATATTTTCACTTTTCTACTAAAATCGACTGAATTAGTACAATACAAAGAAAACAACGAGAACACAACCGTCCAGAGAAAAAAACGTAGTGACACCGTGTAGGAAGAACAAGTGGTAGTCACATATGGTGCATGATATCGAGTAGAGAAGCGAACCGTATTTGTTTGCTCACCACCGTGGTAGTTTACATAGGAAAACAGACAACGGTCAATGTTATTTCATCGTACAATAAAAAATAGTCTTAATTTGAAGTCGAGTAGCGTTAGGGTCCTATGAACGGTCTCTTTCACAACCAATTACATAAAAAAATCTACTTTGATTAGCAGGAACAAGTTCAAAGACAGAGTGTGCGAAGCTCTAGAAATTGGGGAAAACGGCGACAGTCATAACGACGAGCGACAGCCTCGTCTAAAAATCGTCTCATCCGTTGTTTACAGGACACTGCATGCACTCAATTGTTTTAGAGAAAGATACAAAACTTAACACAAGAATTAATACAAAACCAGTAATAATCAATAATATTTTTCCCCCTCTTAACCGGACAAACTCTTCGACGAACACAAATCCGTACACCACAATCATATGTCTCTCTCCCCGCCGCCGTTGATACTCGCCTACGACAGATCTAAAAGTTATGAGGTCGCTTTTTACGTAAGACTGAATTTCCCCTGATAGTAGCCGTTTTACGTGAAACTACGAAATATCGTATTTGTACACAGGGGGCCAGCACAGCCCCTTTGCGAGTGCGTCGCGTCTTTTACTTTTTGTGAGAGAGAAGGAGGCAGGGGTTTAGAGATTTTTTGTTTGCCGCGCCTTGTTGCCTCGACTAGGACGTCTAAACGCAGGCTATACTGCATTATAGACTTTACACCTGGTGGCCGGATAGTCTTTGAACGATAGTCTTTGTTCGGGCTGACCATCTGGCCCGTATAGCCGTTGCCGAGACCCTCCAGGTTTCGCCGAGGCACACATTCGGATATACTAGTAAAAGACTATCGCACTTTATCCAGGGGGAGGGAGGAGGTGGGTGCGGTACACGTTTCAAAATGATGCCGAAGTAACAACATACTGATACAGGTTAGTAAAAACCATGAATTAATGCTTTGACAAGTCTGCAGACAGACGGCAGGCGAAACACCTTTTAAAATGCGTGTTTTCTAAATGGAGCTTGGCTAAGCTAACGTTGTATATGCTCCGACCGTCCACACTCACAACAACGGCCTACAGACATAAATAAACCAGTGACTGTATTCGCCATGACACAGACAGTCTGTGGTTTGTACTTGTTTAACTTTTGTCTAGTTTCTGAACAGATATGAGGAGCTGTGAGCTCTGAGGGCTAACAGCTAATGTTTGTTTTTGTGGTTCACATTGAAGATGACGTCACGGCTCCGCCTACACTGCGTTACTATAGTTACTGCCCCAGTTCCTAAACTGTAATGGAAATGCAGCATAAAGTGAGCCTGGCCTACCAAGGCCTAACTATACCGTACTAAGCCGAGCGAGGCCCTGAAGTGGAAATGCGCCAAAAGTGAGTCTAAGATTTAAGAGATTAAGATTTCAACCTGAATCCTATCATCCAATGTGGGAAGTTATAGCATAAAACATTCCCCTGCATTCTGTTTCTTGAGCTTTTCCGCATAGTAACTCTACTGAGAGCTTACTTGAAGTACAGTATGTCCTCATGTTTCATCAGACTGCGTTTAAGGCAGGAAGAGGCATCTCCAAATTCATTGGAGCAACATACTGTACGAATGAAGCAAGCTGATCCTCGATGATGAAGAGCAAAATGTGCTTTAAACACACCATTTGACCAAATACATGATGGTGCTAAACCTCAAACTCTTTGATACTTTCAGTAGACATTGACTCTACTTTCTTTGTTGTCTGACATTTAGATTAACCTCATTTATTTGTTGCTGATGTGTAATCCACAGCTGCAGAAACAATAGTCAACTGATGATTACATGTTTAGTCTCAATTCTTTACTTCCTATATAAGAAATACAAAAAGCTATAATGCTGTAAGCTGAATAGTTCAATAATAAAAGCACAAATGTATATTTACGATGGGTCTTAACTTCAGATATACACTTTTATTTTGTCCACTGATACATACCTTCTGTGTGTCCGGGTCTATTAACCAGTTCCACGCCCCAGTAGCCGTACACACCGACACTACTATCAAAATCACTGAAACAAGACAAGAGAACATTTTTAAATAAATTAGAAAATACTTGGTTTTTATCAAGTATTTCGTTCAAACAGGCTTATGCAAAAATAGGCTTAAAACGTGGTTATTTCATGTAGACTATTTATTTATATGAGGTACCAGACAACATACTATAGTGTGATATAAATAATTATTGGCGTAAGCAATTAGAATTTTTAAGATTTTTGCCAAATCACCCAGCCTTATCCACATCAAGTTGTATGTTTGTTTACTTGTCATTGGTGCCTTCACATTCATTGTAATGGAAAACAAGGTTTTGGCAAAGAACATATAAGCGTAAGGTTTACTAAATAATAGATGTTGATGAATAAAAGGTATGAGGTGAGTTACTTACTTCTCCACCTGCCTGTTGCAGGTTGCAAACAGGAGACATACTCTGTCAATCTCCTCTCAAAGGCCTTCAGGTCTGAAAAGAAAGTGGAAGCAATGAATGAAAAACATAGTATTTCGAAATAAAATCATGGCTGTATGGCACGCAAAAACAACTTATTTCAGTCATGTGACATACTGAATGTCAGCCTCAACATTAAAGCTCGATTTGTGTCACTTTCAGTGGTGTAAAGTAAATATGTACACTTACTGAAGTACTGTACGTAACATTTTCTACCTTGTACTTCAAACTCACAACAATTCAGAGGTTTAACATGTACTTGTATTCCAAAACATTTATTTAATACCTTTAGATACTTGTGAAATATAAACAACACTTTAGTTACACCTGGAGTAAGTTCACAAGACACCCTTTTACTTTTACTCAAGTACAAGATCGGAGTACTTCCCACTTCTGCATGTCAAATCCACGCTAAACTTGAGCTAATACAGGAGCATAACGTGACAAAATAAGACTGTTAAAGATCCAAAACGTTATTTACTGTTGTTACACTTCCTGTTGGTGAAACCTAGCTGTTCATAAAGCTACATCTCGATTAATAGAAGCTAACAATCTGAATAACAGAACATGTGTCAGCTAACGTTAACACCAATACAAACAGCTGCTATTGGTTGAGCTAGCAAACATGCTAGGTGTCGTAAGAAGACTAGCTAGCTAACTCAACGTTATATCTAACTTTGTATACCGTTCTTAAGACGTTTGCTTTGGGTTTTTTCGCTATGAGGTTAAACCTAATCGGCAGCAATTTAAAAATGTGATTTAGTTTTTGTCTTGGTTACCTTCGGCCTGTTCCAAGGAGTTCATATCTGAGCCTTTAGTCCCAGCAGCCTGCTGTTGGCTGCACCGCTGCTTCCCCCTCAGCTGAACGACAGGCCACGTAAGCCAATCAGCGTTTGCTGTGCGTGCTCAGCTCTAATGTGATTGGTGTAAGTCAAATAAAGGGCGGGACAAGAAGCGGAAGTCCCGCCTCCTGCCCTCTGGTCCAATTGGCCTTCAATAGTCAACAAATATATATGTCTATTCATTATACGCTAAAAAATTACAAATCAAATTGAAGAGAAAATCAAATATATAATTATTACAAGTGTATGTACAAAGCACATTTAAAATACAAGGCGATACAAACTGAAAACAAACTGAAACAAGCTTTAATAGAATTATAACACAAGTACAAGAATAAAAGATAGAATGCAGTATCAAAAATCAATGGTTATTTGATTATAAAAAGCAGCTGCAAAAAGAGAAGTGCAGGGTCCCAGATCTCACACTCACTCCATCATCAGAATAACATCTCAGTCTTTCCTGATGTAATGTGTTAGCCATTTACTTATAAACAATAAAGCATAAATGGTTACAGAGTCCACATAAACGCAGGACTTTTGGAAAGTATAGAGGGATTTTTTTCATGATAGGATTTAATGAATTGCTTCATGGAGTTTAGAGATAAAAATGTTGAGCGGTTTTCTAAAAAAGGGGTCAGGTTTGCCAACAAGAATACGTCATCACATGTCATTTGTTAGACACTTTTATCCAAAGCGACTTACATACATTCAGTACTGTGGACAATCCCCACTGGAAAAATGTGGGGTGAAGTGTCTTTCCCAGGGACACAACGACATGCTGACTGCAGTGGGAGTCTAACTTGCTACCCCCTGATTTAAAGTCCAGCACACTATCCACTTAGCCACAGCCTCCCTATTCATCACTACGCCTCTCTATTCAAAGTGCTTTGTAGAAAACTTTTAGGTATAAACATATAGTGTAACCGGTATTATTTAGTACACTAAAAGCTGAGCTATCCACATTTTAGGAGAGTTTGGGAACAGAATATGTGTATTTTAGAGCAGTGGTTCTCAACCGGTGGGTCGTTTCGAGTTGGTCGCAACTTCTTTTTTTTGGAAAAAAGTCAAACTTTTATTTTGAAGGCCCGATTTTCTAACGCTGTGCATGCAGTAGGCGTTGGACTGGAAGTAACGGAGACCATAAACGGTTTTGAAAACCTCTGTCACGTAGTGATCATCTTCTCAATAAAACATCTTTGTTGATGTTTTTTCAGACCCCCGGTTTGATGATTGACAGGTCACAGAACAATGGGAGCTATCTAACCTACCCACAATTTAAAGTAATTCACACAGACTATCTCCTCTTTGCTCTTCTCTCTGTGTGGAGCAGCAAGTTCAGCTTCAGAACTAAGTGAAAAACAAACAATGGCATAAAATATTATTAATATGTCGGGTAGCAATAGATTTATTTATTTTCTTCTCAGAGTGTACCAGAATGCGCAGTTTATATGTTAGTGTTTCTAAAAATCTCCTGGGAGAGAATCCCCCCAGACCCCCCTGCTGGGGTTTGGTTTTCAGCATGTGTGCCTTTTTATGTTATACAGTTCAGCTTTGATTCCATCATGTCATTAAACCTTTTTTTAAAGAATACTTTAATTCTGTGAAGGGATATCAGGGATATATGCACTGTACTTCACTTTAATTAATAATGTATGCTGAAAAGCGTATATATTACTGCACGATTTGAGTGTTTCAAGATTTCGGGTCGCGATTTATTGACGAAGGTAAAAGTGGGTCCCGAGGCCTGACCAGTTGAGAACCACTGTTTTAGAGTGAGTAGCAGGTTTTGTTGCTTACAAGCTGCAGTTTCTTCTGCAGCTTTATATCGAACTTCTCCAGAAGAACTTGCTCTTTCTCCTCATCTTCTATGTTTCTCAGGTCGAAGACATCGACACCTTCCTCTGGTTTGAAGGTGACCTCGCTGTAGGTCCAGCCCACAAGCGCTCTGAATCCTGTCGCTGTTTGCAGAGACACGATGGATTTATTCATGAACAGCGATTTAGGATCTGTCTGAAGTGTGTTGTTTGCTTCGTAGAAATGCTCAACCTCTCGAGGCTCCAAGGTAAAGCAGTATATCGCCGTTGTCTCCTGCCTCTTCACAAGACTAGATTTAGCAAAGTCTGGATTGAGAACCTTGGTCTTTCTGCTCGTCTTCTCAAGAACCCACTTGTCCCCCTTGTCTAAGACTCGAAAGACGCCCGCCTCCTGATGCTGATCCTTTCCAGAGACGAGCTCCATGGGCTCCCAAATCTGGAAAGACACCCCAAAGGCCACATCTGCTATATAAGCCTTTCCATTGACGATGACCTTGTGGATGAGATGACTATCGGTGGG